TCCCTGGAGAGAGGGAAGGCAGTGGAGAGAGAAGCAATATTTGATGCATACAGTACTGCCCTGAGACTGCTCCCTGCTGCCCCCTGCTGACACAAGTATGGTTGTCAGGATAGTATCAAGCACTGTTGTACCTGGACTTGACGGATTGTAACTTGAGAGAGCAAAATAACTAACTTAGGAGAGCTCTACCAAGAAGTAATGTGAAAGAATAAATAATAATATGCCTTCTCTTCAAAAGTATGGTTTACTGCTTTGCTGCACTTCATCTATGCTGTGAAATTTCCAAATCAGAGAATCACAGATATCAGACCTGGAAAAAACCTGAGCACACCCCTCAGCCAGCCCTTTCTCTCATTTTATAGATGAGGAAAATGAGATCCAGAGAGGTGTGATGGCTCGCCTAGGCCATACAGCTATGTAGAGGTAGGCGAAGATAGACATGAGCTGAGAGATGATCTGGTGGTTCCCAAAACCTGGTGGACACAGATTCTTTGATTCTTCTGCAGACACATTTAACCAGAACCTCTGCAGGTGGGATATATGAATCTACTCAGATTATTCTTATGCAGCTGGTCTCACCTTAGTCAGAAACTGGTATTAGTGTATTCCATGGGCCAAGTCAACTCTGTCATCTATTTTTATGTGACCCATAAGTTCAGTATGGTTTTCATATTCTTCAACAGTTGGACATGTGAAAATTGTATGAAATTTCTGTGTTCATGAAGTTCTGTTGGAACATAGCCACTCTTGTTTTTTATACATTGTCTGTGACTACTTGTGTAACACAGTGGCAGAGTTGAGTTTTTACCACAAAAACTATGTGGCCTACAAAGCCTACAACATTTGCTACCTGTGCATTGACAATTAAAACTGGCCAACATTGGGTGTGTTCTCTCCGTCACATATGCACTGCCAATACCAGTATTAACAGGGAAATTCCTAAGCTATGAGGACTTGCATTATTCCAAATGTTATCTTGCTTTATGCAAAACTCCATTTTAATTATCTGTAAACCTGATTATCTTAATAATATTTTATTGTAATGCAACTTGCTACTTTACGTGTGGAGGATTTGCTTTCATTTCAGGAGGTTTAATGTGGACTGTGTGCTTGTTTCTTTTTTTTTTTAATTCATTTTTCAGTTTTTGGTGGACACAACATATTTTTATGTGGTGCTGAGGATTGAACCCAGCACCCCCTGCGCATAACAGGCGAGCTTGTTACCGCTTGAGCCACATCCCCAGACCTGCTTGGTTTTTTTTGACTAGAGAAAATATCTGGTTTTCTAAATACATGATGAAGATATAGAATATAAATATTTAGAAAGGAGAAATGATAAGTGATTTTTGTTCTATGTGTAGCATTCAGTACCAAATTACGGAAATTTATTCTTCGTAAAATGTAAAATGTCCCTAATAATGCCTTTCTACTTACAAAACCGTAGTTATTTAATTCACTAAAGTTACCTAGTTTCCCTCAGTCTCCCACTTGTCAATTCATTGTTCTATTAATTCAGAATCCTAGCTGCCTCTGAGTTTATCTTCATCCAGAGAATAATAGTTTTAATTTCCTGATGTCGTCTTTTTCTTTTTCCTCTTCCACTTTTCCATTATCTCGGACAACATGAACATTTGTTTATTAACCAATAAACAAACATTGATTGAGTGCTTGCTGTATGCCAGGCACTGATTTTGTGATAGGAAATACCCCCCATGGTACCGCTAGATCCATTGTGACAAAATTAAGAGACAAGAGGTAGTAGATACAGAACATGACACTTTTTAAAATGCTGTTATTTATTTTCTACAGCAGTAGGCAATTTAGTGATGACCTGGCCTGGTGGTTTGTAGGGGCATGGGACAGTGGTTCTTCCATTGTTGCTTTGCTACTTTATGTAGTATATCCCAGGGACTCAAATTTCCCATTCACAGAGAATCCATCCCCCATTCCAGCTTCATTCTCTGCCATATAGCCATGAAATTGCCTCCCAGTCTGGCACAGTAGAAGCTGAAAGAGGCTCTGAGCTCCACATAATATACTGCTCTTTGCTACCTGAGCTTTATAGGTGGTTTCCCCTCCTGGGCTTTTGTAAGATGCAGAGTGCTAATAATCTCGCCTTCACCCATACTTCACAGAAATATTATGAGGTTGAATAAGGAGGTTATTTGAAAGACTGGCATTTTTACAGAGAAGGTTGCTATAGAAACACAGAGGGCTACAAGTACTTCAGAGAGGGGGTTTGAGGAAAGTCCTGCCCTATTTGTTTCTTTTGGAAAACAAACAAACAAAAAAAAAGGAAGTCAGAGCTGTACCTTTGATCTGTTTCATGGTAACTTTAGATCTACTATTTCTTTTCGCTTTTAGGATCAGACTATCCTTCCAGAACCAGGACACTAGTACAGGAAGTGCATTATTACACTGCAATATTGAACATGGGATGATTCAGTAGATGTTTCCAGAATATATATAGCTTTCCTATTGCGAAGATATTAGTGTGATTGGCAGACTAAGAAAGGTACAAATAGAAGAGAAAAGGAACTTAAAGAAAAATCTACCAACAGTTTATTTGGAACACATGAACTAAACATTATATTGGAACTGTGGGAGGAAGTGTTAAGATTGATTCCTGCCTTCAAAGAACTTAAAGCCTAGTTGTAAGGATGGGGGTAAAAAAAAGTATGTTAGTTGTGATTTGTTTCATAAATAGTCTTAATCAGGTTAAGGAAGCTTTTATTTCTAGTTTTTTTAGTGTTTTTAATCATGAAAGGATGTTGGATTTTGCTAAATGTTTTTCTGCACTTATGTGATAGTTATATGGTTTTTCTTTATTTTTAAAATTTATTTCATTGGTTGGTTTTCATATGCTAAACCATCTTTCATTTCTTGGATAAATTCCCCTTGGTCATGGTGCATAATCCCTTTTAAATGCTGGATTTGGTTGCTGGTATTTTTGTTGAGTCTTTTTTGTGTCCATATTCATGAAGGATATCAGTCTAGAGTTTTTTTGTGATGTGAATATCTGATTTGCTGAAATGTTTCCTTCTCTTCTGTTCTTTGGAAGAGTTTGTATTAATTCTTTAAACATTGGTAGAATTCATTAGTGAAACCATCTGGTCCTGGGCTTTTCTTTGCATTCATTCATTTTTTTTAATGTAAGGTAGAAACGATTAATTATTGTATAATCTCATTTGAGGGAGAGACTTTTTAAGGATATACCTTATCTGTATGTTTATATTTATACAGAACATTTCTGAAAGTATATTACTCCCCCCCCGCCAAAAAAAAAAGGTAGCTGCAAAGTTTTCCTTCAGTAAAAGGATGATATTAGTCATTCATCCCCCTCTCCCCCAGAACTGGGAATTAAGTCCAGGGGTGTTGTACCACTGAGCTACGTCCCCATCCTTCTTTCTATTATGAGACAGGGCGTAAACTGATGTGGCTGGCCTCAAATTTGCAATCCTCCTGCCTCAGCCTCTTGAGTAGCTGGGATAACAGACCTTTACCATCAGGCCCTGCCTTTTTGTTTGGTTGTTTGTTTTTAATTGTAAGCATACATTGCTCTAAATTAAAACAACAAAAACTACTTAAAATGACTTGCCTTTGGCCATTGCTCTCTGTATTTATTTCTGATCTGATCTCCTTAGAGACTGCCAGTCTAATAGACCCTGTTTCTCCAGCATCACGAGCTACTGTTCCCCTGCCCAGTTTTATTCTCATCAACACAAAATTACTTGTCCACTCCTTGAAAGCAGCCCACAGTTAACACTGTTGTGCTTCTTTGTACATGTTATGCTGTTCCCTTTCCTGCCCAATTTTTCTTAATTCCTATTTGTCCTTAAAACTCCTTCCAAATATGATTTACCTCTCTTTGTAAACCCTTTCCTGTTCATAGTCCTTTTTATTCTCCACCCAAGGAGGGGTGGGGGTCTCCCTCCTGTAGCTTCTTATACAATATACATATTTTATTTTGAATTTTGTACTTACCCTGCATCATAATTACTAGTTCACTTATATGTCTTCCCTAAAAGTACAATTCTGTTCAATTTTGTGTCCCTGGAGCTTAGCAYAATGCTTGGCACAGAATGGATGCTCAAAAATAATTGAATTAAAATGAATTCGTAAGACAAAGCATTCAGGGTAGGATGAGCAGTGTGAACGAAGGCCAGAATTCATGCGTCATTGTAACCTGTTCTGGGGACATGGACTAGTTTGGCTACATGGGAGGATTCATGCTGGGGATACAGTTGAACAATTTTGGCAAGGTCTAAATTGGAAGCTCTTAAAAGCCAGATAGAGCAGACGTGGTAGATAAATATTGATATAGTGATTGAATGAAGAGCTCTTCTTACTTTCTTCCAGTCTTTGCTCAACTCTCTTCCCAGTAGGCTTACCCTGACTACCTTCTTTAAAACAGTCACCTCTCCATCTATCCATCCTCTGCCTCGAATTCTTGTCTTTTCCCTGGTCTTCCTCTTTTTTCTATAGCACCAATCACCTTCTATTGATCACAGTCTAAATAATTTATTTATTCATTATGTTTTATTTATTGTCTGTCCTCCCCATTGGAAAATACTCTCTCCAGATCAGGACTGCATTGTTCACTGATAACTCCCAAGTACGACAATATCGTCTGACGAGTATTAGTGTTCAGTCATCATTAGTTGAGTGAATGAATCCTAAATTAATGAACTTCAGTATCTTATTCAGATCTGGCATGGGGAGCTTAGGTATAGTTCAAAAGTCTTATTTCTGAAAGAGACAAATATATTTTGTAAAACTGCCAAGATTATGCCAGCTATTTGTAATAATCTGGGATAGGGCAGGAAAAGGGAGGTGAGGGGAAAAAGATAGTCTTAAGGTTTCTTGCCTTCAAAAGCAAATAGAAGTGTAAAAATTGTAAATACCTTTGAGTTTATTTATTCCATAACTAGAAAAATGTTGTTTTGTATGGTGATTAATTCTCATGATTTAATAATTTCTCTCTTTTTCTTTCTCCACAGACCTTTGTAGTATTAAACAGAGGAAAAACTCTCTTCAGATTTAGTGCCACGCCTGCCTTGTACATTTTAAGTCCTTTTAACCTGATAAGAAGAATAGCTATTAAAATTTTGATACATTCATATCCTTTTTCTACGAATGTGGAGTGAATGCAGCAACTGCCTGATTGTGTATGTCCTGATGTTTGACAACTGAATTATATATTAAGGGTTTGGTTTTGTTTTTGCCAATAGGAGAGTTGGCTGTCCCACCAGTCAGARGTTTAAGAGTGTGGTCCTGACAAACCGCAAGCTGAAAATTAGCAAAATTTTTTTTTTCTTGGGATGATATCACTGGAGTCTGGAATTTTGGTGGTGTCATGAGGGACAAATTAAGATGGTAACCTTTAATTGAAGTCTTGACTTTTTAATTTCATCCTACCGGAGACTATTTAGCTTGTTAACATATTAAGATTCAATATGAGAATTTTTTTGAAAGCTGACTCTGGAGTTACAAATAGTTGAATGAATGCTTTAGAGATATTCCTTGAATATATATATATTTTTTCTTCAGCAGCTAGTTTAGAAAGTATCCATGATAATTCTCAGATGAAATAGCCTCCTCGTTACAGAGGTTTAGATGCAGATTGCAGGATAGATATGAATATTTTCTGGGATTCTTACTCTCCTTAAGTAAAAAAAAAAAATGTTGATTTATTCATGTGACTTGGCTTTTACATCCTGTTATATAGAAAACCATATGACACTTGAAAAATTATGTGATGGGTTTAGCAACCCTACATAGTGACTTTAAACTTGCATGCTTGGTATTTAATTTAACAGCACTTTAGTCATGTGTCAAAGAGTATTGTATCCTCCAAAGAGGATGAAGAAATCAGCAGATGAACTTAGCCAATGAGTTTAGTAAGCCCCTGCCACATTGCAGGAATTTAGCAAACTGGTTCTGAAATCCGTGGTTTACAGGCAACATAGTTCACAAATCAGAAGATTTATGGGAAATAAATAATTTACAGTGGACTTCTTCCCTTTCTGTTAGATCAGAGGTGGAGTGCTTTTTTCTCTTCTGGTTCCAAAAAGTATGTTATTATACTCTCTTCTGGTTCCAAAGGGTATGTTATTGTACTCTAAAATAAAATCCAACTAGAAGAAGTAGCTTTCTCTTTTTAAAACTCCACTTGGAGAATAAAGATGGGGAATGTCATTAAGAAAAGAGAATAGGTTAGCAAATGAGTTAGAGCATGCTTATTAAACTGACAGTTTGAGTTTGAGAATCTCATGTTGACCTGAAACAGTTGAATTTTCCTCAATGAGAACAAAAAGAGCTAAGAAAGATGTGGATGAAACTGAAACGGCAGCAAAATGGTTTGCTATTCATAAACTTTTCTGGGCACTCTCAGAACAATCGATTAGATTTGCCCCAAGAGTCTGGGAATACAGATGTCCTTGAAATCTGTACCTAACATGCCACAATTGCATTTCCATGTTGGGCATATGCAGTGCACACTGGCTGGCACCTTGATCCCAAGACAGTTCAGCCCTCTGGAAGGACTGGGGGGCTGGACCATTAATTATATGTAGATTTTCAAATAATTACTTATGTAAGGTAATTAATAATAAGTGAATACTGAGTAGTAAAGATTTATTTTTTCACCTGATGATTTTTAAGTATAGTAGACTGATAATTTCTATACACAAAGTTAAGGTAGTTAGAGGATTATTCTATAGTTGAAGTGAAAGTGGTAAGAGGAGAAAATATTTTATCCAAAAGATGTAGAACAGTAACAACCCTGTGGAAAGAAGAACCATCCACCCACAGTTCTCTGGTGGGGATATACACAGTGGCTTTCTTTGTTGGTGATGGTAGCCAATTTTCATTATCAACTTGCCTTTTTCTCTTCTGTGATTTGTCTCTGTTCTGTCTATTGATTGAGCTCTTATGATATCCAATGCAAAATGTGTTTGTTCCCTGAGAAAAATTTCTTTWAAAAAGCCAGATTTTGTGTATTCCCCCTTGACTATTCTCTACAGTATTTAGCATGATCATTATGTGCACTATTTTGACCAACTGTGTATTCATGACTTTTAGTAACCCTCCAGACTGGTCGAAGAATGTGGAGTAAGTAGCTCATTTATTTGTCTCCTTGTTTGCTTTAAAGATTTTTAAGTCATTGAATCTTGTGTTTTGCCAGTTTATCCATCAAGGAAAAGAAGAACAGTTATTGACACTATTTCGTGGAGAAGGGTGAGGATACATGTGGAATTTAGGAAATAGTTCTAGAAGTCAACTCTTAAAAAGAGCAAAGTCTGCTCCCACCTCTGCCCTTCTTGTGCTAGCCAGCATTTGCCCATGGCTCTGTCACTGTATTGTGTCTTTAATTCCTGATGGTACTCTCTTTCTCTTTTGACTCCTCCCAGGTTAAAAGTAGCTCTGGGGGACTCCTCACCTGCTCCAAAATGATGATGTATTAGATGGCAGTACATTATTATTTCCTTGAAATATCACTCAAGCTGGGCAAGGTGGCGCACGCCTGTAGTCCCAGCAGCTTGGGAGGCTGAGGCAGGAGGATGGAGAGTTCAAAACCAGACTCAGCAAAAATGAGGTGCTAAGCAACTCAGTAAGACCCTGTCTCTTAAAAAAAAAAATGGGGCTGGGGTTGTGGCTCAGTGGTCAAGTGCCCCTGAGTTTAATCCCTGGTACCAAAAAAAAAAAAAGAAAAGAAAAAAAAGACATATCACCCCCAGCATTCCAGAGTTCTAGGTGTGGGCATTTCAGTGAGTTTCATTCAGAGTGCTCCTTTCTCCTCCTCATTCTGTCCTACCACTTTGGCGATGCCCTTTCTGCCCTTCTGCAAGGCCATACTTCAGGCAGGTGTGATCTTGAAAGGTTCATTTGAAGTTTGTGTATGTTCAGAAGTTACCTTAAGTTCTCCTTTTCTTTGACAGGTACACGTTCACAGGGATTTATACATTTGAATCACTAGTGAAAATCATTGCAAGAGGTTTCTGCATAGATGGCTTTACCTTTTTACGGGACCCATGGAACTGGTTAGATTTCAGTGTCATCATGATGGCGTAAGTTCTCTGATTACTTTATTGGTGTTGTGGGTGTGATCACGTGTGTGGCAGAGGATTTTCCTGGATGTTTGCATGACGGTGTTTGCAAGTGAGAGCTTGTGGACTCAGTGGTAAGGGGAATCAATGGGTACACATGGGAACTTGTGCTTATGGTTCTTGCTTGTGAGGACCTTTTGTTTTTCAGGCAACAGCAGCCACAGTGTGTTTATGTGGAGAAGGTGAGCAGAGTCTTTACAGCTGGGAGGGAAAGTAGGATATATTACCCATGGATACTCATATTTTATTTTTATATTTTATTCCTTTTTATGACATTGACCATGATTGGCACACCTGTCACTAGGAGGCCTCTGTGAAGATTCAGAATCTTTTAGAGGTGAAAATGTGTGTTCTGGGCACGTCTTATCACATGTGATTTAATGAGGCTGTCCAGGTGTTGCAGACTTCAGAGCACACTTTAGAGTCAAATCATGAGCCCCGGTATCCAAATTGGCACTTCCTGAAGTTACTAACCAGAATTTTGAACTGTCACTGGAGACTGTAGAACTCCACATAAGTATGCTAGGAGCTCCTGGTAACTTGTGTTGCTTTAGCAATAAAATGTCTCTTGGGAAACTCACTTGATGATAGAAAAGTTATAACAGGCTTTAGTATTTTTATTTTCAGGGTGTGAAAGTGCTTTTTGTTTTGGGGATGTGATGGGGGGTGGTGCCTAGGTTTTATGTGTGTGCACAGATGTATGAGAAAGAGTGTGTTGCACATGTATGGGTCTGAGCATTGCATAGAAAGATGTATTTCCCCTGTAAAATGTGAGTGAGAGTTATGCATTGAATATTTGAAAGTGGAACTTGGACTTTCCGTTATATAATGAAATTTCTAGCTCTCCAGCATTATGAAATACACATTGGTGTTCATTTAAAATCTTAGTGTCTTTGTAGGCACAGAGCTGGTGATAGAATGGGCTCTCAACTCAGTATTTGTTCATGATCTGGATTTTCCTGAGCCCTGTTTTTGTCTGTCACAGGAAACATTTTCAACTGTGTACATGACTGGAAACATATGCATACCACTCTTGCATAAGTCATATATACAGCCATTTAGGCATTTTTGCTGTCATTAACTAGGGAGCTACATTAATGTAGATTTGTTTTTGTGGGGCTCCTGCTGCAGAAGTTTGTTTCCCTTTCTTAAGAAATTGTCTCTGCTACTTCCTGGCTTTCCTTTTTACTAAAAAGGAAAATGTAATTGACCTGACAGTAAAATGATTCTGATCGGGATCTGCACATCACTGCTGATTAAGAGACTAAATCCTAGAAACTTAGAGTGATTCTTTCAGTTACACTTTTGAATTCTCCTTGCCCATTTTTTTTTAAGACATGTTACTTAAATGTTTATATTTTGAAATTTTTCTTTTTCAGGGAAAAAATGAAATCATACCTTGTATATAAGACCCTTTCTTTCCCCCATTCTCAAACCCTCACCCAGTGGTACCATTACAAGTTAACTTTGGTTTGATTCTGCAGGTATATAACAGAGTTTGTAAACCTAGGCAATGTTTCAGCTCTGCGCACTTTCAGGGTACTGAGGGCTTTGAAAACTATTTCGGTAATTCCAGGTAAGATGGCCTGGGGTTGGTGTTAGGTGTTGGGTTAGGGCCCTGACGTGACGTATTGTACTTTTTGTTTTGTTGTGGTTTTGTTTTTTCCTTTGGTGTTTGTGTTTGTGTCTGTGTTTGTCATTTGTGTCTGTGTGTGACCTCCCTTACTACAGATATGTGACAGAGTTTGTGGACCTGGGCAATGTCTCAGCGCTGAGAACATTCAGGGTTCTCCGAGCTTTGAAAACTATCTCTGTAATTCCAGGTGAGAAAATGTGTGCACAAGACTGACCTTGCTGCATCTCTTTTTTCCCTTCATTCATTTTGTTCACCACATTCTAAACTGGTGTGAGCACGGTTGATATGCTCTGCATTCTGCATGCTTTTCCTGAGAGACATTCTCTGGAATGGCCTTTTGGTCCCTAGGCAGGTTTTTTTGACTGTGCTTGCAGGCATGCAGCCCCCATTTCATCCATGCTTTTGAAAAAGCACGTGCTTAAGAAACCCTTGGATCTTACAATATCTGAACACAATCATCGTAGAGCTAGCTGTTTCTTTGTATATAAATCATTTGAATCCCAGCCTCATGGAATTACAGTAATTTTAACATGTGCCATCATTCCATTGCTTGTGATTTCTAGGCTTCCTATAGCATGGTTTGCTGATGGAATGTTATTCAAAGAATTATGTTTTTATTATTACTGTACTAATGGAATTATTTAATCGCAGATGAGACCTACACAGTTAACTAGTCCAGAATTGTAGAAAAACTTAAGAGCCTTGGAGTTAGTGAACTGAACTTTAATAATCACCATTTATCCTGTTCTTCTGCTGTCTGTTTCACTAGAATGAGAACCAGTAGCATCTACTATACATATATTCAGGGATCATTCTCAAACCTAAATCCCAATGACAGCTTATACAGGTGCTATTTTTAAAAAAAATTCAAAGGTAAGATAAGATACAACTAAAGATATGGGCAAATAAAAGTATAGAAACTTGAAGGGAAAAGAAATCCTGAGGGTGGTTTGAGAGGTAGTTGATTGATAATCTCTTTAAAATTTTTGCCTTTTTCTTTTTGTTCCTGGTTGAGTTAGCCCAGTGGTTCTTGACCTTTTGAAGGTTTTGGATCCTTTTGAGAATCAGATGAAAGTTGACAGACCCCCCCCCCGAAGCCCATCTGTGGACCCCAGATTAAGATCCCTTAATTTAATTTAAATCATTGCAACTGGCTAATACTTCTCTTCCTAAAGACTAGCCTTAAAATTGGAAGGAAAGGTACTTGGTTTAGTACTTTGTTAGTCTTGTGAGCCTAAGATAGACTAGCAGTAACTTGCCAGAGCTTAAGACAATGTGATTGCTCTTTGGATTTTAGTTGTATTTAGGATTTTAAAAGTAGATTCCCCAGAGACCAGGCTTTCCACAGTAGTTTTGTAGAAATAGGAGTACAGAGAACAGGGACAATCCATTCTGATCACATGCCTCATCCCCTGTGGCTGCCTCAGAAATATTTCTCTTTTCCCTGTTTCAACATTATCAGATAGCAAGAGGGGGAAGAATAAAGGTAGAATCCTGGAGAGGGCAGACTTAGAATGTGATTTACCAGGAACCTCAAGGAACATTCCTTAGGCAGGCCTTATTTTATGAGGGAGATGGAGTGCCACATTTACTTTCATTTTTCCTTTGGTCTCTGTCTTCCTCTGGCCCCTTTAAAATATGATCCTCTATTTTCTGTTCATTTCCCCCAGCGTACTCTGCAAGGCATCTGTCTCTTTATGTTCTTGTGATCTCAAAACTTCTCTTCTAGAATTAAATTGGAAAGCTGCATTCTGTTCACTAACTGGGGCAGCAGATGCTATCTCTAGTCTAGCTCATTGCTTCTGCTTTGTCTCTGCTCTATGGTTACCTTTTGACCAGGGCATTTCTGCAAGGTAACTCTTGATCATATTACTTAATACTGTAGTAATACATATAAATACATAAACATACAGTTGACTATAATACAGTGCCTGGCCCATAGCAGTGCTCCATAAATGGTTGTAGTAGTAACAGTTATTATCATAAAGAAACCTAAGCCCAAAGAAAGGGTTTGTGTCAAGATTTAGACATCAGCCTCACAGTTTGAAATAGATTCCCAGGTTCCTATTTCTAGAAGCATCCCCAGTTGAGCTGGCTTTGGGAAGCTAACTGGGATGGAGAATAACTTTAAGGATAGTAAAGCTAATAATAGATCACTGTCAGTAAAAGGTATATTGGGCTTTTGAATTAAAGTGTGACTTTTAGTTCCAATCCTTTTGCTCCCCATTCTACCTTTTAGAGTTAGTAAGAGAAATCCAGGAGTTGACGTCTCCCTTACGGAGAGGCTTTTCTCATCCCGTGTAAAATTCTGAACTTTTCTGTCATTCTGTCTTCCTCAGAGTGCTGTTGTCCTTTCCCTACCTTCCAGTTACACAGGTCTCCTTCCAAGGCCAGGCACCAGTGTGTCAGTGGATCTGAGCCTATCTCATGTTTGAAAATCTAAGTCATTTTGATTCCACTGTTGTAGAACTAGGACACTGTGCCCCTTAGTACAAACCAAAATTTGCCTGCCCAAATTTTCTTGTGGGTACTTCAATGGAACTGCTGCTTTTCTTGCCTTCTCCTGTTCCTAGTTAGATTAGGCTTTGCCAGATCTGCCAAAAACAGAATGGAAGTGAGAGTGACCATAGAGTTGACACAGAGTCTGCAGGATGTTCAAGTCTCAGCTCCCTTCATGAGAACTTTTCCTTTCCTAGAGCACTCACCCTATCTCACCTGGGCCAACACTGACCTTCCTCTGAGTTATCTAGTAGATATTTTGAATGTATCAGGGCTGCCAAGACTCCAGAATATTAGAGAGTAAAGTACATCAGTTAGGTTTGGTGTTTTGTATAAGAAATGCTTTACTTTAAGAGACTTTGTGCAGCTTAGAAAAGCCCAAACCCCACTTTCTGAGCCCTTTTATTTACCAGCTCAAGACCTGGATAAAAATCTCTCATGGTTTCTTCTTTTTTTTTTTTTTTTTTCAGAGTTAACAGCTTAGAGAACAGGGTGAGCACACTGGATGCTTAAAGGGTCAATGATAGAGTAGACCCTTTCCAAATTTGCTTTGGCCTGGAATTTGCCAGGTTCAATTTGACGTCAAAATATTCTGCCTAAAAGTTTATGTCTTAAAACTTTGTTTTCAGTTTGTATTTATGAACTTATACTTTGTCAGAAGTTTTATCATCTGCATGCTTTGGTCATATGCCTCAGGACTAACATACCTTAAGATAGGGTAAGATTCCCAGTGGAGGATTCTCAGGCTTCTCTTGGAGGGTAACACTTAATAACCTAAATAGAACCAGTTGGGAGAGCCACACTTGTCAGTTCCTTTTCATTTCAGTCATTTAAGTGGCTCCCCCAAAGCACTACTTACCTGCTGCTCACCAGTGCTGATTTTATACCATCTCTCTCTCTTAGGGTTGTAGTTTCTTAATTACTTTTCTCTTGGATATTTTGCATCTCTGCTCTTGTTTCTGTTACTTTTACTTATATCCAGTGGTATCAGGTAGGAAGCAGGGGAAATGATGAGCCCTTCTTCTTCCCATCCCAGTATTCACAAAGAAAGTACTTTGTTTAAATGTGTGTTCAGTAAATGTGGCAATTTCTGCTACATAATAAAAGGGAATAGAAAAAGTGGTTCAAAACTATATTCAGACTCTTTCTTTTTCTCTTTTAGTACTGGGGATTGAACCCAAGGTACTTTAATGCTGAGCTTCATTCCTCATCCTTTTTATTTTTTTATTTTGAGACAGGGTCTTACTAAGTTGCTAAAGTTAGCCTTGAACTTATGATCTCTTGTCTCAGCCTCCCAAGTAGCTGGGATTACAGGCATGTACCATAACACCCAGATCATWTTTTCTTTTAAAATATTCCAGTTATTCATCCTGATGGTTTCATATTTCTCCTTCCACATTGCTTCCTAGGAAAGATAACTAAAATTTAATAGTGTTCCTAAGTGGAAAAGCACTGAAGAGTCACAAGATCCCACTGACCCACCCTTGAAGGCCAGTTTAGCTTGGATCATACTTTGTGATGTGAATCTGGTCTTATAAGTAAATCTATAGGCCCCAAATCGCTCCCAAATTACATACATACATACATATATGTATGTATATATACATATATACATAAACATATATATATGTTTTAGTTGTAGATGGACACAGTACCTTTATTTATCTATTTTTATGTTGATGTGAAAAACCTTCAAGAACTGTTGTTATGAAGATTGCATTTGCAACAGGAAAATTGATGAGGTTCTCTTTTATCCCTGGTCCCAGCCAGGCTCTGGGAACTGGGAAGCTGCTCTTTTACCTTCTCTGAGAACTGCTTGTGACTGCTACTGAGGCTTATTCCAGTATTAATTTTGTGAGGGAATTAACTCACATTGCTTCAAACCACTTAAATTTCTCAGCCTGAGTTACTGAGGAATGAGAATTGATGATTTAGTTATTTATAATCTGGTCATGATAACAAGGGAAGATTTTGATCCCAACATACATAGCTGATTTCTCTGGACATAGCACATAAGCTGGCTTTCTTTGTTTGTTCATGGGATTGTTGGGCATTATGGAAGGTCGCAGGAAAATCCGAGGTGCCTTTGGACATAGAGTAGAGTAGAATCCTGTAACAGTGACCTGGCTTCACCTGTTTCCCAAAATTCCTGAAGTACCTGACTTCCTCTCTGGTAGCTAACTTTTCTGTACATTAGATCCAGCTGTCTGTTTGTGGTCTGTAGTAAATGTATTAACTTCTGCTCAGATACATACCAATGCTAGTTAATGTTAGCCTCTTCTAAGAGTTCTTGCTGTCCAATTTGCCCCCACATGGCTTCTGTTGCACACTCTGTTGTGTAGGAGTCGTTGGAAGGAGCATTCTGCTGTTTTGGATAATCGGTTTTCAGTCAGTATCTTGCTTGTTCTAGCATGTGGTATTGTGAGCCAATAGAAAAAGCAAGACACAGCTTTGCTTCACAGCCAGAACAGCAGCACTCTTCATTCTTGCTTGTGTGGGGTCAGGAATTCTACTAGCAACTTCTTGCTTTGCTGATCCATGTTGATGGTGGCAGGAGTGCTTTTGCTTGGATATATTATTGTGTTGGGCAGCCACCGCTGGCAGGACTATAGAGCTTGAGCTTAAGAAATGTATGGATGGTGTCATCTTCATAAATTGACATGGATGTCTCTGCAGATGTGGTCACTCTAAATTATCAACCCTAATGGAAGAAAGAAGAGTCTTGGCTGAGACCAGTATATAATTCAGTGACTATTTACATTTGTTTGCTTCATCCGCAAGTATTGAGCCCATTATCTTTTTTCCCTGTGCTTCTAATTTTGTGCTGGACCTGGACAAGAATCTTGGAGAGTAAACTTTTTAGATGGTTAATGTTATGTAGTAATTTTTCTTGCTCAATTAAAATTCATTTCTCTGAGCCCCAGTGAAACACAAGCACCTGAATAGGATTTCTAACAAGTTTACACTTTAAACTACTTGATAGCTACATGAACTGTCACCAAGAAGACAAGCTAAGTTTCAGGCTTCAAAACACTTGGGGAAATTATTTTGTTGTTTTTTTTTTTTTTTGGTTCTTTTGTTTTTTTAGCTTTCTGAACTTATGTTTCTAGATCTCCTCAGTAATGACATCTGGTTTCTGGATAAAAAATGTTAAACCAGCAGCTTATGAACATTCTTGTCTATCTCTAGGAAATGAGGATTGTCATGCATGGTTGATGTATTCGCTGAGTATCTCTGGGCAAGTAAAAGCATATAGGAGTGCTTTAAAGAATCCCAAGACTGGAATGGTCTTGAACCTCAGGAAGACAGAGTAGAAACAAGAATGCAGAGCCCAAAAGCCTGTTTCCAGGAAGTAATTTCTCTCTCTCTCTCTCTCTCTCTCTCTCTCTCTCTCTCTCTCTCATATGTGTCTATTTCTTCTTTCCCTCTCTTTGTGCATTTGTGCACTAAATTCCTTTACTTCCCAGACACATCTTAGTATAATGACAGAGTATTTATATATTACCATTATATGAAGACTGCTCAACTGTCTCTTGTCCTATTCCAGATCCCTGTAGGAAAGGATCTGGATTTAGATCAGATGTCTACCCTGTCATCTGTAACTACTCAGAGAAGGTACAAAYAAGGTGCTGAGAGCCCATCCTTAGGGAACAGGGGATAGTTGCTGCTTATGGCCTGGAATTTCTTGTTTTGTAGGCCTAGAACTTTCCAAAGAAATTCTCAGGAAATTATATCAGACTCTTGCTAAAATTGTGTGCTTTTAAAAAAAAAAATTATGTGTTATAGCAAATGGATTGCTTTGGTTATTTCGTAGTTTTAAACTTATTTCTAATACAAATGTCAACTCACATATTTTTCAGTTCAGTCAAAAAAGCAATAGATGGCTGGAGATGTACCTCTAGGGAAGAACCATTGCCTAACATACTTGAGGCCCTGGGTTCAATCTTTAGTACTGTACCAAAACAAACAAAAAACTTAAAACAGCAATAAAAAAGACTAAAAGTGTTCAGATAAGTAATTTAACTGTTCAGGGCAAGGCAGCTGCATAAGTTCCTTTTGAAGAAATCAAGAAACAAAATCTTAAAAACATTGTTCAGTAACCCATCCAAATATCCCCTTTTAAATCACTTTTTGACTTTGTAAACAGAAGACCTGCATGATTTTTAAAGACTCCCAGAGAAGATTCTTCAGCTTCTCCTTCACTGCCCGCTGCCATGTAGCACTGTTTTCTATAGATGAGAAAATGAGGCTTGGAGAGGTGATCTTAAGTTGGTTTTGAAACATGGTGGGTCATAAATAATGACTGAGCCAGGACAGAATTCCTGCTTTCTGATTCCCCATCTGGTGCTTTTTCTGCACAGCCATGTGAGGAGGAAAGGAATCGGATTAGGAGCCCAGGCAAGCCCTTCCTAATCTTTTGGTGGCCACAGTTTTCAAGGAAGATACTCTGTAAGAAAGCCTAGGCTTCTGCACCCATAGCAGCACTGTGGTCTAATTCTTAATGCTTCTCTCTTTAATTCCCCTTAGATCCCTTTCAAGATATTGTATAAGAAGAGAGAAATTTCTCATTTACTCTTTTAATAAAAATTCCTTAAGTACCTGCTTTGTGCCAGGTCCCAGGCTAAACACAGCATACATAGCTATGCAGAGAATTCTGTTGGGCTTAACTTTGAAAATTGTAGGTGGATACTACAGGATACAGCAAGAGATGACCCAAGTCCATGCCACCATCATATGATTGTGTCATTTCCAAGCATGTCCCTTTGAGGAAGGAAATGTCTGTATAGTAACGGTAGCTAATGAGTCCTGCATACCAGCTGTGTGCCAAGCACTGAACTAGATATTTCTTATATTCATTATCTTATTTAAACCTTACAGCAACTCAATGGCATTAGTATTGTAAATCTCTTTATGTAGATGAGGTTCAGAAAATTATTACAATAATAACATTTGAATTACTTACTGTGCATCAGGTGCTTTGTTAAATGTGTTATATGAAGTATGCTTAATCTTCACAGTAGACCTATGATATTCAGCTATAATTTAAAAATAAATAAATAAAGATTCACTTATTTATTTATATTAATTTTTGGTGGTGCTAAGGATCAAACCCAGCCTTGTACATGATAGGTAAACACTACCACTGAACTACACCCCCGACCTTAATTATGTTCATTTTAAAGATGAAAAAAACTGAGGATCCAAGAGGTTAGGTGCTCAGGTCACAGAAGTAAATGACATACCTTTGATTAAAATTAGCAATGATTTGCCCAACTGTATACTTCAAAGCCAAGATTAGGATTACTTTAAATGACACTCTGATATTCTTGCCTTCAGAAGTAGATCAGAAACAAGATCCTTCCTGAGACCTGGGTGTTAGGGCTCAGTATCTGGTTCCTGCTTATCTTGGTACGGTGGCCACCAGAAGTATCAGTGCTCTGTTGGCCATGTCCTGTGTTAGCACAATGTTGGGAATTCCAAGAAGAGCCACATGTAGACTCATTTGAATCCAAACAGCATGAATCTATAACCATGTTTTTCCATCTTCCATCACTGATCTTTCCCTGTGCAATTAAAAAATCTACCTTCTTTAGGTTTAAATTTGAACCAGTGGCTTGCACTTAAAAATTAAAATAGATTATAATAAAATTAAAATTAAATAGATTATAAATGGTTTTTATTTTTAATCTAAGCCAGAGAAAAGTGGGGGGGGGCATTGTAGCAAGCAGGTTATAAATGTGATATAGACAAGGTATACTTTTAAATGTAAAGGCAAATTATAAATAAAGAATTAATAATTAACCTTTTCATTATGTTGGCATTTCCAGAACTGATGGGAAAATATTATTATGCCTTCTTGCTTCTTATTGGCTTTTAAATTTCCCAGTTGTTTCCTTTCCAACCTGGAAGCCTCCTTAATTCCTGATTTTTCCATTTGTTTCTTAAACAAATATTTACTGTGGACCAGGGGCTATAGATTCGGCTGTGAATGATACAGACATAAGAAATGCATTATAGCTGTGATAAACACCACAGAGGAAAGTGTAAGGTGCTATTAAGATAGTAACAGTGGTGGGGGAGGGAGAAGAGCTGGGAAGGAAGGATGGATTCTGAGGGAAGTGATTTCTGTGCCGAGACCTGAAGGAAAGGAGATAGTCAGGTAAGACAAGGGCTGAAAGGAAGCAGTCAGCCTGAGGGAAGCACTGAGGACCTGGCTCATTTGGAGAACTAAAAAGTTGTCCAAGACAGGAAAGTATGTTCAGAAAAAAAAGGAGCCACATGTTGGTAGAAGAAGCTTTCTTTAGCTTTTTAAGAATTATAACTTCTGGAAACCCCTCATTTTGTTGACACCGTTATTCTCGTGGTATAAAGACACACTGGGCATATTTCAAGGATGCTGTGGGGAGGAGTAGAAGCTCAGGCTAAGGGGGAGGCTGGGAGGGAGGGGCTCTGAGTGACTCTGGTTCTGGGTGCACTGTCTCTTCAGGCCTGAAGACAATTGTTGGCGCCCTCATTCAGTCTGTGAAGAAGCTGTCAGATGTGATGATCCTGACTGTGTTCTGCCTGAGTGTTTTCGCCCTGATCGGACTACAGCTGTTCATGGGGAACCTGCGAAACAAGTGTGTCGTGTGGCCCATAAACTTCAATGAGAGCTATCTTGAAAATGGCACCAAAGGCTTTGATTGGGAAGAGTATATCAACAATAAAAGTAGGTGGCTCCTCCCCTACAAGGGGAAAAACCCATCTGTGCAGTCAGAGCCACCACTGGGCTTAAAAAAATAGTTGGGCTCAGAAAGGAATGGCAGTGTTACCAGAAGCAGCCTCAGGAGGTCATTTCCTTTCCCCAAGGCCAGATTGTGTTCAGAAACTCAAATGCCAGCACACTCTCCCTTTTTCTCTCTTCTACCCCTTGAAACCCAATGAAACTTTATACAATCTTCACATGTACCCACAAACTTTTGCTCTAAAATTCAGGCTTAGAAACTTGGTCCAAATTCTTCCTTCCTTTGCTAGGTTGCCTGGGGTAGTTAAATATTTAGTCCAAGATATGCCTATGCATTAGAACTCAGGCTTTTTTAATATTAATTAGTAAGACATTAGTAATTGACCTAGTCTAGGGAGTCAGGCAATCTCCAAGACACCATTTGAAGTCAGTTAAGTAACCATTAGAAAATGTTGCAAAGGAGATTCCAGGAATACCTGCCTTCTAGTTTAAAATAGGGCATGGTAACTAGTGACCAACTAGTGAGGAATTCTAGAATATCCTGATAAAAATAAGTCATAAGATGTTTTAGCCAGCTTTTTCACTGCTATGACTGAAAGACCTGCCAAACAATTTTAGAGGAGGAAAAATTTATTTAGGGGTTCACAGTTTCAGAGGTCTCAATCCATAGGGACTGAGAATGAGTGGCAGGCTTCATTCCCTGGGCCTCAAGGTGAGGCAGGACATCATGGTGGAAGAGTGTGGCAGAGGAAAGCTGCCCAGGATGTCACATCAGGAATCTGAGAGAAACTAAGCTCAACTCACCAAATGTATACCCCAAAGGCACACCACCAATGACCCACCTCCTCCGGCCACACCCTACCAGCCTGCAGTTACCACTTAGTTAACCCCTGTCAGGAGATTAATTCCTGATTGGGGTAAGCCTCTCATAAACCACCTTGCATTGTCTCATACGTGAGTTTTTGGGGAACACCTAATATCTAAACCATAACAGTACAATATTAAAATTGTCTAAAGGGATGAAGAACTCAGAAAATTACTTTAGACCCCTTTTATTCAGGTACCAAAACCTAATATATATGTGATGAGAAGAGTATTATATGAAGGGCTTCAGGGGAGCACTTTAAATTTGTAGATATCTATAGGAAAATCATTAATGGGAAGGACTTCTCATCAGCTTTCAACTGCTGGTGGAAAAGATTTATATGAGCTAAAAATCAATAGCTATTTCTGTTGGGGCTAGCCAGGAACAGTATAACCTTATTCTCTCATTCACTTCAATTTGCCTTTTCATTTCCTGCCTCTTCAAATTTTTCTAGCAAATTTTTACACAGTTCCTGGCATGCTGGAACCTTTACTCTGTGGGAACAGTTCAGATGCTGGGTAAGTAGCTCACCTAATTTTATTCTCCTTCCTTAAAATAATATGCCTATTTTTAATTGGATGTAAACGGGCAATGTTTCCACTTTTCTTTGAACTCATAAAATAAACCCTACAATCAGACCTTACCTATTAGTTAACTCAGATTTCCTACTGTTTTATATTTGTCCATCCAAAGATGAMATTTCATCAGAAGGTGAATGTACCTGTAGTCTCAAATTAAAAATTAACGATGTTAAAGGATAAAGAGAAAATCTATAACACGAGGTAGCTTACCACCTCTTATAGATTCCCCTTGTTCTATCTTAACACAGTTAATACAATGTAAAATAAGGACACCATCTTAGTGATAGTTTAGCATCCAAGGATGACCCAGAAATGGTCTAGACCTGACATGGGGGAAAGAACAGATAACAACATAGTATTTGAGTCCTGCTTCTCTTAGCTTTAGACCTTTGCCAAGCCACTTAACTTATCTGAGCCTTAATTTCAGTAAACATAAGATAGATTTAATAGGTCATGTTCTGTCTTCCTCATGAGTTTACTATAAGGAGCCAATTAGATAACATACATGAAAAATGCTTTGTAAACAGAGAGCTATTCAAATGTACAGGAGTAGTGTTATTATTCAGAGTATATTGGTCCCTTAGGAACTGGTGCTTTAATATGACCATGACAACAAGAAATCCATTTAATTTTTATATTGAAGTAGATATTAAAGATTTCATTGAAAACAAAACAGGTGCATCCAAAAACAGAAGAATAGTATAACTGAGGTTACCAAAAATCTCCATTATGACTTAGGTCAACACAGCAAGTGTTAAAAAAACATAGACAACTAAAAGGAACTTATAGGCATTTGTCACTTGGGAGAATAGCTAAATTGAATTTTATTGAATTACAGATTGATATGAATCTGGGACAGTGGTTTTCATATTTTGTCATGAATAAGGATTACCTGGGAGCTGAGTGTAGTAGCCCATGCCTATAATCTCAGCAGCTCGGGAGGCTGAGACAGGAGAATTATGAGTTCAAAGCTAGCTTTAGCAATTTAGTGAGGCCCTAATGAACTAGTGAGACCCTATCTCTATATAAAATATTAAAAAGGGCTGGGGATGTGGCTCAGTGATTGAGAGTCCCTGGGTTTTATCCCTGGTACCAAAAACAAAAAAAAAAAAATTACCCGGGGCTAGGGATGTAACTTAATGATAACACTTGTCTGACATTTCCTGGTTCAATCACCAATATTGGGGGAAAGAAAAAAGTTACCTGGCATATCTCAAAAGTGCAGGTTCCTAGATCCCATTTCCAAAGCTTTCAGCTCTTAGCTTTGGGGTAAGCATAGAAATCTGCATTTTTAAGGGACATACCATGTGATTCTGATATAGGCTCTGCTCTGAAATTGATTAGCTACTTATGTTCTCTCTCTCATCTTATTTTTCTTCTTCTAGTTTGTTGGCTTGGCTTTGTAAATAGTTACTTCCTACCTATAAGGCCATGGAGAAATAAAATTATGTTATTTAATATCTTTAAGATTATGGCTTGTGGAATTATGTTGAAAAGTCCTGAATTTCCCTTTCTTTCTTCAGGCAATGCCCAGAAGGATACCAGTGTATGAAGGCAGGAAGGAACCCTAACTATGGTTATACAAGCTTTGACACTTTCAGCTGGGCCTTCTTGGCATTGTTTCGCCTTATGACCCAGGACTACTGGGAAAACTTGTATCAGTTGGTAAATAATACTTCTTTTTCTTTGGCAGTAGAGTCTACATGGGGCAGCGTGGGCTTGGGGGACATTCTGTGTGAGTGACCTTTAGTGAAGACGTTAAACAGGATCTGAGGATGGCATTGCCCACCGTCCATTGCTTTATAATATTTAGAACTGGGAATTCTCCCAGTTCTCATCCCTGTTTCTCAAATACTTAGTCATGTATAGTTGTAGAAGCTTGTAGCACTGTTAGCTTTTGCCTGGCTTGGGAATCTGCTGTCTATACTTAATTCCTATTGTTTTACCTCTTGCAGTGTATCTCCTTTTGGGTTTCAGGGCTTAGGACTTCTGTTTAAGAAATACTAAATACCCATTTGTGTAAGATGAAATTTTTATCCAAAAGGGCTTTGGAGTTTAAATATGTCAACATTTTTGAGATTTATAATATACTTGGACTTGTTCAAACAGGTTGTAATGGTAGAGATAAGGTCAGTCTCATTCCATCAGGCCATATTGATGACTAAACACATTGTTTAATTTTGCTAGTTGTAGGGTAGATTTATGCTAAGGGTCTTTCGGCTTAGAAATTCCACAACAGTCCATTGTTTTCTTTTTGACTCTGGCATTTGGTGATGCTGTAAGGGTCCGGCGAAGCGTCGGAGAAAGAGACCACCAAGAGACTACTCATGCAATTGGCAGAAGGGGATTTATTGAACCAGCATGCTGGGGCTCCGTGCCCACTCAAGAAAGGAGAGCAGCCCAGAGCAGGGGTTGAACAATGCTTAAGTACACTTTTTGGAGAGGGCAGGGGGCTTTACATACATCGGAACAAATCATCATGAGGCGCGGGAAAATTGAACAACAATTCTTAGACTTGATTAGTACATTCATTGGCAGGAACAGGCTGGGAAGGGGTGATTGGTCACTTCTAAGTGGGGTACACATTCAAATTGATTGGTTTTGGGGCCTGAATACCTACGTGCCGGGCTACTCAGAGCCCTTAGTTATTAAACAGCCAGAGGATCAGGAGGAATATTTACTGGGCAGTTCAGGTATTGTCCTAACAGCTACAGGAATTTAACCCAGGCTTTGCAGTTTAGAAGCAGGTTTACAATGCCTGGTCCTTTACATTTTGACTCAGGCTTTGCAGCTTAGAAACTTTACCCTTTCAATGCCAGTTTGTTTAAGAATAAAAAACATGCCCTCCTCATGCATGAAGGATCCTCTTTCAGGGAAGCATCTAGTTCAAATCCCCAAATCAGTTCTTATTTTTCTGTTGGACAGTTCCCTCAGGTTTGACTCTTTCTCATGAAACATTTATGATTACAATAAGTTCCTTTAAGTTTTGGGGATTGAAAGGATGAAGATGAAAACTCAGGAATAGTGGGTTTCATTTACATAACCTAAAACCCAATTGTTCTTTGATGTTCATTTCATTAGTGAAAGGAATAGGTCTAGGATCAATCCTCTTCCCTTTTTCTCTTTACCTCTCCAGTCCTTCATGTCATATTGTTTTAGAACTAACTGATGAAGTAAAATATAATTCTTAATTTAGGATGTGTTTTCCTTAAACAAATGAATAAAGCATTGTTATATGAAAGGAGTTTATAGGAAGTATTTGGGAATGGAGAAAGATCCCCCATACACAAAATGGATAGGAGGAACTACTGCCACTTAGTGTGAGTTAAGCATAAGGAAATCCATTTGGCCACTGAGGATGTGTTTCTCTTCAGTAAGAAAGAGTACCACACAAGAAAGGACTGTCCTATTCAAATTGCAGATGGTGCCCCTACAGAGGAACTAGGCTCACAAGGTGTTTTCAGCCTACTTCATTTGATGCAAGTGACTCAAAAAAATGGTTTTATCTTTGCAGACCTTACGAGCAGCTGGAAAAACATACATGATCTTCTTTGTCTTGGTCATCTTTGTGGGCTCGTTCTATCTGGTGAACTTGATCTTGGCTGTGGTGGCCATGGCTTATGAAGAGCAGAATCAGGCAACATTGGAGGAGGCAGAACAAAAAGAGGCTGAGTTCAAAGCAATGTTGGAGCAACTTAAGAAGCAACAGGAAGAGGCACAGGTGGGTGATTAATTTTTTGAAGCAGACCTTCCTGCCAAATCACAGAGATTAAGGCTCCATCTGATTGCCACTGCAATTGATCTTTCCTAAGTACATTATCAAATAGAGGTCATTGATCTAATTAAAATAACCCAAGTAACAACTGCAGATGGTTAATCCAATTATTCTTTTTTGTCTTAATGGCCAAATCGTTTGTTAATATGTTAATATGATCTTTTTCTTTTTTTTTTCTTTTTTCTTTCTTTCTTTTTTTTTTTTTGAGACAGGGGTCTCACTCTATTACCCAGGCTGACTTGAATTCCTGGGGTCAAACAGTCCTCCTGCCTCAACTTCCCAAGTACCTAGGACTATAGCATGCATCACCATGCCTAGCTGTTAGTATGTGTTAATATGATCTTTTGTTGAAGATCTCATCTCTTCAGTGTTCAACTCGTTTGTTGACTGGGGGAAAAAAAAAAAGTAACCAGAACAGTTCAAATAGTTCTTCATATAAGCATAGCCTCTTTTTTTTTTTTTTTTTTTAATGTTTGGGATTCACCCCAGGGTCCTCCATATACTAAATATGATCTCTACCACAAAGCTGCACCCTCAGATCCCCTTCAGAGATACTCTATGGTCATAGAGTATTGTTTCCAATTTAAAAGGAGAAACAGGGGCCGGGGATATAGCTCAGTTGGTAGAGTGCTTGCCTTTCATGGACCAGACCCTGGGTTCAATCCCCAGCACCACACCAAAAAAAAAAAAAAAAGGAGAAATAGGCCAAATATCAAAAGTAAAACTTGAAAGTGACCTGTTACCCTAACAATTTATATACACACATGCTAGGCACAGTGACACACTCCAGCAATCCCAGTGACTCAGGAGGCTGAGAAAGGAGGATCACTAGTTCAAAGCCGGCCTCAGCAACAGTGAGGCACTAAGCAACTCAGTGGGACCCTGTCTCTAAATAAAATACAAAATCGGGCTGGGGATAGGAGTGAGGATTTGGCTCAGTAGTTGAATACCCCTGAGTTCAGTCCCTGGTACCCCTGCCCTGCCAAAAAAAAAGAATAAAACCCAAAGTTGTCACCATTGGGTTCTGATCCGATCACTTAAGGCTGTGTGGTAGATGACAGATTTGCCTAGATAACAGAGCCAGCTAGACCTAGCCATGGCCACCTCTCTTCTCTAGCTATGGAATGGAAATTTGCTCCACACACTGGCTGGCTCAGGTGACCCTAAGGAATGCTTCTGAACCTATCTGTCACTGTGTTCCCTTTCTAGGCTGCCGCAATGGCCACTTCTGCAGGCACTGTTTCAGAAGATGCCATTGAGGAAGAAGGTGAAGATGGGGTTGGCTCTCCTCGGAGTTCATCCGAAATTTCTAAACTCAGTTCAAAGAGCGCCAAGGAAAGACGTAATAGGAGAAAGAAGAGGAAGCAAAAGGAACTCTCTGAGGGAGAAGAGAAAGGGGATCCTGAGAAGGTATTTAAGTCAGAGTCAGAAGATGGTATGAAGAAGAGGGGCATTCGAATAGGGAGGAAATTCTCCATTATGAACCAGGTAAACTCTTTGTACTAGATCAGATAAGCCTAGAAATTCTGTTTTTTTTTTTTTGCTAATCCTGCTTGATTTTATTTCCTCTCTGGCTTTCCGACTTTCAAACCAATCCCTGCATCTTCAGTCCCCCCTCCTCCTATGCTCCACATTGCCCTCCCCTAGGAGGAAGCATTACCAGCATTGGGGATGGCTGTTCTCTAGTCAATGCCCTACCTTCCCTGATGTAACCATCACCTCTGGTGGCCTTGCTTCACAGTAAAATGAATGTCCCACCAGCAAGCATCAAGTTCTAAAAATATTAGGAGGAACTTTTCTTAGCAGTTGAGCTTCAGACATCTTTGTTTAAGAATTGCATATAATTGTAGGTAATAATAATAAAAATAGTGGGAAACTCTTTAGCATACCTTATTTCAGCTTGACAAGTTATAGTAATGAACTATCCTAGATATTCTAGACATATAGTGTTGTGCTGATAAGTTAGCCAATAGTATGGCAAAAGCCTCCAGTTTTACACAACTTGGATTAATGAGGAAACTAAAAGAAAGGAAAGAGGATATATAATTGTTGATCATTCTACTACTATAAATATCATCATATGATAAATACCTTTGGGTTTTAAACATCACCACTTAGGGCATTAAGAATTAAAATTTCCCCATCTTAAAGAAATGCTAGAAAGTTTAAAGGTACAGAATAGATTACATTTACTGTACATTGCAATGTCTCCAGTGTCTCTCCCTGCCCCACTCCAGAGATGGTTCATTTAGCCACTTCTTGGTGTCTCTCACTTTCCATTCAGTCTTTGGCCAGTCTTGTTCATTTTAACACAGCAAATCTCCCACCATCCCCTTCTTTCTATTCCTATTAATCTGGTTTTTTTGTTGTTGTTGTTGTTGTTGTTTGTTTGTTTGTTTGTGTGTGTGTGTGTATGTGTGTGTTGCTGGGGATTGAACCCAGGGCCTGTGCATGCAAGGCAAGCATTCACTGAGCTATATCCCCAGCCCCCTCTATTTAATCTTATCTTAGTTCAGATTTTGGTTTTCCCTTTAGTCTTTCTCCCTCTCCTTATGGTATGGGCTATCAGCAGACCACTTCCTAAAATGTAGCTGTTGTTATTCAAGAAGCAAGCACTTATGGAGTTTCTACCACATATCAAGGATCCCAGAGACTAAGAGATGGTTTAAACGTCATCTCTACCCTAAGGAGTTTACAGGACAGTGGGACAGCCAGATACACTAAAGAATTATTTATGTAATAGTTGGACAGTATCATTCCATAATTGAGATATACTGGGGGTAATTTTAATTTGTATACCCTAAGTTTGGATTATTTGTTGGATAACAAAGTAGAATGGTCTTTTAGACACGTGTATAGTCAAATGATGGCTCAGGGAAGAGGTCCTGAGCGAGAAGTGGTGATTGGAACCATGAAACTTGATGAGATCTCACTAACTGAATGTGTCAGGTAGACCAAAAACATGACCATTGGTGTTAATGGAAGTAGGAGATGGAGCTCATGAAAGAAAACAGATGATGACTGCTTAGAGGTGCCAAGAGAGCCAGGAGTTAATGAAACTAAAAGTAGAAGAGTTGGAGAGGACAGGGCAGTGATCCAGGGGGTTGAAATTTAACAAAGATGCAGAGTGAGATTAGAATGGGAAGAGTCCAAAGGATTTGATAATATAAAAATCACTGAGGACTTTTAAAAACATATTTCAGTCAGAATGAGTGCCAGTCTGAATGGGAAGACAATGAGCATAGACTTCTTTTTTTTTTTTTTTTTTTTTAAAGAGAGAGAATTTTAACATTTATTTTTTAGTTATTGGCAGACACAACATCTTTGTTTGTATGTGGTGCTGAGTGAGGATCGAACCCGGGCCACACGCATGCAGGCGAGCGCACTACTGCTTGAGCCACATCCCCAGCCCGAGCATAGACTTCTTATGTAAACTTCTTTGAAGGATTTAGATGAAAATAGCACTTTTATCATCTGTGAGGGGAAAAAAACAGAAGATGGAAAGGTAGGATTAGAAAATGGAGTAGAATAGAGTAGAATTGAAGTACAATCTTGAAAGATAGGCAAATAGATATGGTCTTTAACAGAAAAGGTGCATCTCATCCTCTGAAACCTCAGGAAAATAGAGAATGTTGAGGTACATAAGTTTGTGGACAGTGTATAAGAAGTTGAAAAAAATGATCCCTCTAATTTTTCCATAATGAAGATAATTTAAAATGTATTGAAGGAAACGAGAAGTTGAGTTGTGGGCTAAAGAAAATATCAACAGTTCCAAATAGTTATTAAGAAGAGTGGGAGRGGGTATTCCCTTAATCAGATTCATTCTGTTTGCTAATAAAGTTCCAACTCTTTAGCATGGAGTTCAGAGCATTCCTCTCCCTTTATTAGGGACATAGTTTATCTTTTAAGTTTCCAGTCAGTGTGCCCCATCAAGCTTCTAGTATTTAACCCAAAATGAACTACCCAGTACTCCTGATGCATAATGTTTGTTTTCTACCCTCTATGGTTTACTCTAAAAAGGTCCACTCTAAGATGTCCCATTATTTTTCCATCTCTGAATTCCACGTCATAATTATCTTTTACCTCTTTTCTCAAGAAACCTTCCCTGACCTCCTCATTCCCTAAGGGAAATTTTCATTTCATCTTTTCATCATGTTTTATATGTCCCTCTCTGCTTGTTGATTTTTTACTGTATGTGTACTCTGTATACATATTTATTTATGTTCATATCTTCTTTTCAAAGTCCTGCAGTCAAGCTCTCCTTATTTACAGATAGCTAGCATTCAAATATTGTTTGACAAATGACTGTAGGACTTTAAAAATTTGGTTTAACCCCTTCTGAGACTTCTTTATGGCTGGGAGCCAACTGCCTCACCTTCATAGCACATTTCTCCTAGTTTGGCCTCTCTTAGGGAGCTTTGTTGTAATCCTAGCCTTGTCTTAAGAGCCATCACTGAGCTAGTTAATGAATACCTTAGCGCTGGTAGCACTTGACTATTGAATAGTCTCTGATTAATCTATAGGCTTTAGCACAGAGCTGCAGTGATTACTCCCTGGCTCAAAAAATCAAACTGGGATTCTGAGATATCCTGCTTTACATGAAAATGTTCACTTCTTCTAATCCCCCCCTTTGAAAAAAAGAATATATATAGATTCCTAGAGGCCATATCAGACTGCCAAGACTTGCTTAGATATCCCACAGGGTAGCAATATTCTTTTTCCAGGGGTTGGGGTTGTGGCTCAATGGCAGAGTGCTTACCTAGCATGTGTGAGGCACTAGGTTCGATTCTCAGCACCACGTATCAATAAATAAAATAAAGGTTCATTGAGAATTTAAAATATTTTTTTAAAAAAGTAATATTCTTTTTCCCCATGACTCTACTGCAGTTTGTCTGATTTTATTTGAAAGAATGAGGAAACTGAGGCCTAGAGATTTAGTTACTTATCCAATGTTGTATAGTTAGTAGGTTTTAGAGCCAAGATTTGAATCCAGGCCCATCTACTCCAGAATTTGTGCTTCTGACTACCTCTTCCCTCACCTATAACCACATATATGATCATCTATCTCTTACAAATGAATTTGGTGTTGGTTTCCCACAGCAGTTCAAATGTATGTCACTTTCCTTTACATCCTCATATTCTGAGATTGTCTACTGCCCATTCATCTCTTACCTATTTCTCTATATTTTTAAGATGCAGAACAGTTTCTAAGTACTAGGATGAGTTTATATTGCCAAATTAATTTATTCTATTGGCAGTAGTTCTCAAATTTTTTGGTCTGAGGACTCCTTTATATTTCTATACCTATTTTTTTTGGACCACCCTTTTATATCTCTAAAAACTGAGGACCATAGGAGAATAGGAAAGATAGTGGAGTGAATTGGACATAACTTTCCTATGTTCATATGTGAATACACGACCAGTGTAATTCCATATCATGTACAACCACAGGAATGGGAAGTTACATTCCATGTATGTATAATATGTCAAAATACACTCTACTGTCGAATATAACTAAAAAGAACAAACAAAAAATTTAAAATATAGGGATTAAATTCATTAATAGTTAATTTAAATTATATATTTTTTTCTAAAAATGAACTGTTCCAAAACAATAAAAAAAGAAATGGGAAAAGTGGTTTCATTTGTATTTCTGCTGTTCTCTTTAATCTGATGTTTAATAGAAAACAGCTAGAATATCATACCTGCTTCTGCACGCATTTAATCTGTTGCTATATATACATTTTTTGTTAAAGTATTTAAAGGAAATTCAATTTCATAAAAATATGTAGTTGGAAAAGGAGGGATGTTATAATAGCCTTTTCAGGTCATGAATGTTCCTTCTCAGTTCTGTTCCCAAACTTAACAATGGCAATTTTTTCAATAGTTGCAGTGTAAAATTTGAAACTACATGGTGACTTCATACTCTGCTCTATTAAAATCCTTTGCTTTGTTTAGCACCATAAATCTTTAACCTGTGAATGATCTGTAGCATCATGCATTGATTGATCAACTGGGAAATTTTGGTTCACTGAATCATACAAATCTTCCAAATACTGATATACAATATTAAAAATCATATTCATTATTATCACTGCTTTTTGCAAAAGAAAAGTCTTTAAGTATTGTGAAGCTTTCAGGCCTACTGTGTTCACTATATGCTTGTGAGAAAATGAGAGCCATAGAGGCAGATATTATCTCAGCATTATCATGAAATGGCTTTGACCTCATTGGCCCCCCTAAAAGGGTCTCAGGGACCACCAGAAGTCCCCAGACCACACTTAAGAATCAGTGCTATTATTACTAGAATTCTAGACCAAATGCCCAACTCTGGGAGTCCCAAGAAATTAGGTCTGGCCAAAAAACAAAGAGAAAAAGTAATTGTAAAAACCAGGAAAGGGGAGCTGGCGTTATGGCTCAGCAGTAGAGCGCTCGCCTCGCACATGCAAGGCCCCGGGTTTGATCCTCAGCACCACATAAAAATAAGT